TGTGATTGGTTAGCTGGGCCAGTGTGTGCTGTGATTGGTTAGCTGGGCCAGTGTGTGCTGTGATTGGTTAGCTGGGCCAGTGTGTGCTGTGATTGGTTAGCTGGGCCAGTGTGTGCTGTGATTGGTTAGCTGGGCCAGTGTGTGCTGTGATTGGTTAGCTGGGCCAGTGTGTGCTGTGATTGGTTAGCTGGGCCAGTGTGTGTTGTGATTGGCAGCACTCGGCGCCTGGTCGGAAATGTCACGGCCCTTACCATAACCGCCTGCGAGCTTCAGTGTAAATATTGCATCAAAATCAAATCAATTTGAGTGCGATTTAAACCCGGATGATTGGAACCACTCTAAGTTAGTCTGTCTTGGGAAAGCTAGCGTGTCTACATCTTAGTGATAACACTCGTTGTCTTCTCTAGTGCAGCTCAACCAGGTCTCGTCCCATTCGTCGATCTTTGTGATATCACAAATCCCGGAAAATATGCGTTGTAGACCAAACGAGTCGTTCGTTGTAGTTTTTGAAAAGTGATTTCTATTAAATAAAATATCTCCTTTTGAATTGGACTTTGAGCTTTGTAAGCAGATCTTTTTTATGCTCAAACAGCAACATTACAGACTAACTAAAGTTGAAAAAGTGAAAAAGCATAATAGGACCACTTTAAAGTAGCCCAATTCCACGGGAAAACCACGGACTTGGCAACACTGCAGAACAGGGAGGTTAATGTACATTTTGAGTGCTATGAAAGGTTGTCAGACTTTATAAGCTGTGGTTTTACAGCCGCACATCCCATCGTAATGATTTTCCCTTCAGATGCGTCACACTCTGCTAGTTTCTGCCTTTCTCTGACCCTGAAGGCCTCACACCTCTTCTGTCTGCCGCTCCGTCTGCTTCCCTGATCCTGACAAACGTCTCCCAACTCTTTCTGATGTGCAGTTTGTCATAACTCACAGTGCGAGTGAGAGTCTGCTTCGTTTGCAGGTTTCTCTCCGTCAGCAGCGTTTGATGTTGACTGTTTCTCTGTCGGCCGCGTTCACTGCTGTTTGAATTGGTCTCTCAGCAGATTTATTCCCTCCTGCTCATTCTAGAGGTTTCTTTGCTATAAAGACAGCTACTAAATCAAGACATTAACTTTTATGACACAAAGTTTATCTTCCTCATGAATTCCAGACATTTCTTGTTCAAAGTTTGCTGTGTTTTGTCGAGTGCATTCATGCACTGGAGGTTTATGGTCTGTAAAGTGGTGCCCTATGGTAACCAACGGCAACAGCGGCTGGCATCTGCCCTTTGGAAGCTTCTAGAATCCTCATCTGCTCTTGCGGAAAAATACAAACAATCAATATACAAGAAAAAAAAACCTCTGGCCTGTTTTTTTTATTGTAAGTACAGTACTGTAAGAACATTTAATAAATAAATAAATAAAACGTTATTATATGCTGTAATAGTCAATATTTTTGATCTTTTGACAGCAGATAAATAAAATTAAAATATATAAAATTGATTTAGCAAATAAATATAATGAAATATATCTGAAATGTAATCTTTATATTTAAAAGGAACTATTGAATTGTTTTTATACTTTCAGTTTTCATTTTAAAGTTTTAGTAATTTTGTTATGTGCTTTTGTGATTTTGTTTTCTTTTTTATTTAGCGTTTATTTAGCAGTTTTTAGTACTTCAACTTAATCTTAAAGGGGTCATATGGAACGAGCCGTTTTAGTGGGGCATGGCAGAGTCTTAACTTTGATAAAGAATATCTCTTTGGTTTTGAGACTTTAGTCTTTGCAACTTCAGGGATCTTATCTATGCACAATCAGCTTGTAACACTCCAAAGAGAAAGGAAAACTTGAAATCGCATCATATGACCCCTTTAATTTATTTCAGTAATTCAGTATTTTTTTAGATTTTAGATTCGTGTTTTTTTCCATCTAATTTTTATATTTTATTTTATTCTAGTTCAGTTGACGACGAAGATTTTTTAAAGTTTGAAGTTGTAAACCCAGATATAGATGCAGAGAGAGATAATATTTTTAATATACAGTAGATGGATAATTAGATATTAGAAAGAAAATCTTAATTGCGATAAAAAATATTTACAAATATAATTTTCAATATGTTAAAGGTGCATTTGTTAAGATATTAAATGGCTTTAATTTTTGGTTTCCACCGAAAAAAAAATTTCAATCTAATTTTTTATTTTATTTTATTTTTTCAGTCAACAAGAAAAGTTGTAAACCCAGATATAGATACGGATAGAGACTGATAATATTTTTCAGTATACAGTAGATGGATAATTAGATATTAGCAAGAAAAGCAATAAAAATATTTAAAATCACAATTCAGTGTGCAAATATAATTATGGCATCAAGGCATCATGTTTAGATAAAATGTTTTACATTGTATAGATTTTAATGCAAAACATGTCAACAAAGCAATACGCCTCAAAGTCATGCATTGGAATATGACATGAATATGATTTAAAAGCAACAATTTTAATAAGTAATAGCATTTATTATTAATACTAATCACACATTTTACCAATTAAAGAATAATACCAAGTAATATGGTCCATTAGTCTAAAGGTGATATTTTACTCTATGTAGACTTGCTATCAGCTATTTAACCTTCAGATTTCAGAGGCAGATATATCCACTTTATAAAAGAAGATTAACATTACATTTCTCTGAACTACGAAGTCTGTTAGGAAGAAGCATTACATGTAAGAGGATTTTCATCGCAGATTTGATTTCAGTTCATGTTTCTGCCGTTTGTTTTGGAGCAGGAGACGATACAGTGAAGACGTCATAAAACACCGTGGCCTAAAAAAACCCCCAAACACACTGACGTTAGTATAGATCATGATTTATGTGACTAGGAAACGCTGTCGGTGCAAACTGGCCTGAAGTAGCAGACCTCGGTTCTCAGGAGTCGGCTGTCGAATTTGAGCGGAAATCACCAAAGCCTGGTGGTCCGTCAGCCAACGGATCGTAAATCATGTCTGTATAGCATCCTGGATCCCCAAAAGCATGTTAAACTCCTTTCAGCAGCGTTCAGCGTATTTTTTCAAGCTACTGTCGTGGCATAAAACAAGTTTTTAGTGCGATGTGTGACGCAGCGGGATACGATCTGCAGTCGGACTCATTAGGAGTTTAACCCCAGACCAGCTCTGTAAGTGCATGCCAGTAACCAGAGCCAGTACAAACCCTGCAGCTGTAAATCAGAACATTTATTTTCAGGTCAGGGAACAGTTACGAGTTTCCTCTTTGAGGTCTCAGGCTGGACTTGATTTTTATTTTAGCTCTTAATGAGAGAGGTCAGTCTGTGTTACGTAAAAGCTGAACCTTGACCGCTGCTCTTTTAACCTCACAGTTTGAGCTGCCGGACACATCCAGAGAAAGCAATCAATATACAAGAAAATCCTCTGGCCTTTTATATATTATTATTATTATTATAAATACAGTACAGTAGCAACAAAAAAAAAAACTTTAGTACATGCCATAATTGTCAATACTCTAGAACAAATAAAAAAATAAAAAAATAATTAATTAACATTTATTTAAAAAAAAAAAAGTATATTTTTTTACAGTTATTCATTTAGCAAATAAATAAATATACTGAAATATGTGTTTCATGAAATATAATGAAATACAAACGTTCCTAGATGGCAACAAATAAATAAAAATAAACATGTATAAAAATACACATGTATTTCACATGTGTTTCACATGTGCTCATTTAGCAAATAAAGTAATAATATATATATGTTTCACATGTACTCATTTAGCAAATAAAGTAATAATATATATATATATATATATATATATATATTTAGAATTTCATGAAATACTGTATATATTCACATATTTCATGAAACAAAAATAAAAAATTTAATGAACTACATGTTCATTTTTGCAACAAATAAATAAATAAATGTACTTTTTATTTTTACATGTATTCATTTAGCAAATAAAGTAAAAAATACAATTTATATAAAATTTAATGGAATAAATATAACATTTAATGAACTACATATGTTAGTTTTGGCAACAAATAAAAAAAAAAGTAAAATAAGAAATGCACATT